GTGAGCTATTAGTTATTTTCTTAAATGTCTGCCATTGTTCCTCAATCATATATGCTGCTAAACTCCTTACCCAGTCCACTTCAGCAGCTCTACACTCCTTTGTAATAGATTCTATATGGATATAAAAACCAAAAGAACTGCGGATGCTGTAAATCAGGAACAAAAACAAAGTTGCTGGAAAAAGCTCAGCAGGTCTGGCAGCATCTGTGGAGGAGAAAACAGAGTTAACGTTTTGGGTCCGGTGACCCTTCCTCAGAACTGAGTCGCCGGACCCGAAACATTAACTCTGTTTTTTTTCTTCACAGATGCTGCCAGACCTCCTGAGCTTTTCCAGCAACTTTGTTTTTGTTCTATATGGATATGAATCCATGTCTTCTGATCCAAGATCATTTGTTACTATTGCATTTATTCCATTGTGTACAAACAATGCTCCTCACCTTCTGGCCTGCCTTTTCAAAAAGTCACATGCACCTGATTATATAATTCCAGACTGTGATTTTGTAATCATGTCTCTTTAATGGCCAAAAGATCATATCCATTAATCTGTAATTGTGCCATTAATTCATTTATTTTATTCCAAGTACTATATGCATTCAAGTGAAGACTCATAAATTTTGCTATTTTACCATTTCTATTACCATTTTGACCCTATTTATTGCTATTTCAGTTGTTTATCCTCTGACCCTTCCTGTTTCACTTTGAGCATTGCTATTGTGATTGTCATGGGATGCTTAATATCCTGTTAATTTGTAACCCTACATTTCCCCTTTCCCAAACCTCCCCCTGCCCCATCTCCCTCCAATTAGTTTAAAATCCATACTCTTAAGAGTGAAACAAGCAAACCAACAAAGAGAAAGGAAAGAGAGATGGGATTGGGTGTGACATAAAATTGTTGAACTCCATGTTGATGTGGAAGGCTATAAAGTGCTGATGCTCAAGCATATGTTAAGCTTAATGGGACACTGCAAGGTACTGAGGACAGAGAAGCCAGATGGGAACAAGGTTGAACTTGTAGACTGAATGGAAGTGTTCCTTAACATAGTCATCCTCGTGCAGAGGAGATTGCATCGTGAGCAACGGTTCTTTTGTATTTGCGTTGATACTTTTTCTAAGCACTTCCTTCTTTACATGGCACAAATACCACATGCCTAGATTCTAGATGAAAAATTCAATTTTCTCAGAATAGTTGTACAAGGTGTTTGTAAGATACTGGACAGAACTGGTATGAACTTATATAATTGTGCAGTTGTTAGTATATAATGCTTAACTCAAGTTGTGACTCATCAGCTACTGAAGCAGTCTATCTTCATATGGAGCAAGACCTGCACAACATCCACAGTTGTGCTGATGAGTGGCGAGTGGCAAGTAACATTTGCATCACAAATATCCAACAAGCAAGAATACAACCATCAGTTTATGACATTCAATGGCCACTACCATTGCAGAATTGCCCACTATAAACATTCTGGAGGTCACCTTTGACCTGAAGCCAAACTTATCTCGTCATGTAAATACTGTGGCTACAAGAGCAGGTAGAGGCTAGGAATTCTATGGCGAATAACTCCTCCTGCCTCTCTGATGCCTGATCACCATATGCAAAGCACATTATCAGGACTGTGATAGAATACTATCCAGCTGTAACAGCATTCAAGAAACTCAGCAACATTTAGGACAAGGCAGCCCAGAAGACTGGCAGTCCATGCACTAGCTTCAGCATTTACTCTCTTCACCACCAACGCACAATGACAGTGTGCACCATCTGTAAGACGCACTGTTGTAATTCACCAAGACTCTTGACGATACTGTTTGAACTCTCAAAACTCTATTGCACTGAAAACAAAGGTAGCAAATACCAAGTTACACAACATCCTGACTTGGAACTTCTTGCTGTGCCCTCACTGTCACTGACTCAAAATCCTGGAAATCTCCAACAGCACTGTGGGTGTCTCTGTGCCCCTAAGGACTGTAGTAGTTCTAGAAAGCAACTCACCACTACTTTCTCTGGGGCAATTAGAAATGGGCAATAAATACTGTCTTAGCCAGTAATGTCCGCGTCCCAATAATCAATAAAGGAGACGTCAGTGTAACTGTAATATTCATTCCTTACAGATATTCTACTTGTACCTGGCTCCCTCAGGCTGGCCTTCCTGCTGGCCCTCCTGGCCCCAACCTGTTCAGCAGTCATTTTGATCCCTCCTCATTAACCACCTCTCCCTGACTGACCACCTCTATTGCTCTATGCTCACCGCTTTGCTACCCTTCTCCTGAGTCCTTGCTGTGAATGAGGACTCAGCAAGCCGGAGGGAACGAGAAGGGTACCACGTGGGCAAAGTTGTGAGGGGCTGTCAGTGATGGGGAATGCAAGGACCAGCTGGCTAGGGGATTCTGGGATAGCAGAGATGATGAAAAGCAGCATGATGTCGTTTGAGCTGCATGTTATACTGAGCACATGGAGTTACAGCACAGTGCTTGGTGCATGTGCACACACTGTGTTAAAACAAAATATTAAAACACTATTCAGTTATCTCCCTAACTGACATACTGTATTAATGTGAACACATGTTTATAAAATGTGCTTTAGCAGGGCATATGTGTGCAGGGGAAACTTTTCTCTCAGTATTTTGAATTTTCCACTCTCATCTTTGACTTTTCATGGGCTATTTTGGAGTTTTCAAGGGTGTATTCATCTGCCACTCCTGTGTGTTTTGAGCTACAAGCTGTACAGCTGCTTTTGTCTCCCAATTCAGTCCAACCCTGATTTCAAGGTCATAGAACGTGGAAAAAGTGACCTAGTGGAAATGTCACAGCGTGATCAATGTATTTCATCAAAGCAACTGATGGCAATTAAATTCAATTAATAAATTTGGAGTACAAAAGTAGTCTGAGTAACAGTGACTGTGACACTACTATATCATCAATTGTTTTAGAAGCCTAGCTGGTTCACTAATGTCCTTACCCGATTTGGCTGACATGTCACTCCAGACCCACAGCAATGTGATCAACAGTCCCTTTTCTGCAGCTACACTGGCACTATCACCCACCTCTTCCTCTGCTACATTGATGACTGTATCGGCACTGTCTCGTGCTCCCACAAGGAGCTTGAACAGTTCATCAACTTTATTAACACCTTTCACCCCAACCTCAAATTCACCTGAACCATCTCCGATACCTCTCTCTCCTTCCTGAACCTTTCCATCTTCATCTCTGGTGACTACCTCAAAACTGACATCTATTTCAAGCCCACCTATTCCCACAACTACCTGGACCACACCTCCACTCACCCACCCTTCTGCAAGAATGCGATTCCCTACTCCCAATTCCTCCGCATCTGTTCCCAAGATGGAGTGTTCCACTCCCAAACATCCCAGATGTCCTCCTATTTCAAGGACTGCAACATCCCCACCACTGGTGATCAAAAATGCCCTCTACCACATCCCTTGCATTTCCTGCACTTCTGCCCTAAAACCCTCTTCCCACCCAACAAAAATAAAGACAGAATCCTCTTTATCCTCTCATATCACCCCACCAATGTATCATTCTCCGCCACTTCTGCCACCAACAATTCGACCCCACAACCAAAGAGATACTTGCCTCCCCATCCCTATCTGCCTTTCATAGGGACCGCTCTCTCCGCGACTCCCTCATCTGCTCATACCCAGCACCTTTCCCTGCAATCGCAGTAAGTGCTACACCTGCCCCACACCTCTCCCTCACTTCCATTCAAGGCCCAAAATAAACCTTTCGTATCAGACAGGGGTTCACCTGCACATCCATCAACTTGGTCTACTGTATCCACTGCTCCTGATGTAGCCTCTTGTATATTGGTGAGACCAAGCAGAGACTCGGAGACCGTTTCATAGAGCATCTGCGCTCTATATGCAACAAACCACAAAACCTTCCAGTTGCCAACCATTTTAACTCCCCCTCCCCCTCCCACTCCCACTCCCTGGGTGACATGTCCATCCTGGGCCTCCTCCAATGTTACGACGACACCACCCACAAACTGGAGGAGCAACACCTCATATTCCTCCTCAGGAGCCTATAGCCCGATGGCCTAAACATGGAATTCAACAGATTCAAAATCTCCCCAACCCTGGCCTCCTCCCATGTTCAACCTTCCCTCTTATCCCCACCTCCTTGACCTGACACAACCTGTCCATCTTCTGTCCCACCTATCTGCCCCACGCATCCTACTGACCAATCCACACCACTCCCTACCTGCACTCACCTATCACCATCCCACCTACCTTCCCCAGCCCCATCCCTCCTCTCTCTATTTATTTCCCAGCTCCTTTCCACCTCCCCATTTCTGAAGAAGGGTCCCAACCAAAAACGAAAACTTTCTTGCTCCTCTGATGCTGCCTGGTCTGCTGAGTTCCTCCAGCTCCACACTGTATTGTTTGTGATTGACTCTTAACTGACCTCTGAAATGATGAGCAAACCACTCAATTAAGGATTGGCAATACATGCCAGATTTTCTAGTGATGTCCACTCCCCATAAAAGAATAAAGGAAAAAAAATGCCTCTTGCTAATAAACATGATCTCGGCCATGGAACTGATTATCAATCACAGTTTTTATGTTTTTAGCCAACTTGTACAGCAATCTCAAATCTCCATTAGGTGTCACATTTTCAATTGATCTACCTCCAGTTGTGTTAATCCACCTTCCATGCCTTTGGTGCTCGTAGGCTCACCACGTCATGTAAAATTCTCACCTTCAAGTTTAAACTCTACATTGGTTTGTCTTTCCCTATTCTTGCAATCTTGTCCAGTTGACCCCTGGTGAGAACAGGTTTTTGGAGTTGTGATTGTTTTTTTTTTGGAGGAATCAGTATTGGTTGTGAAACCACTTGCCATGCCATAGTGCGTAACCTTAAAAACGATGTTAAATTTTTTAGAGTATTAGAATATAATTTAGAAATAAATCAACTCTTAGAACATGACTGTTATCTTGAATATGGAAGGTGCATTATCATAAAATACTGACACTCTTTGACAGAACATTGTTGCTGTTGGTGCTGGTTTCTGTGATGGTCTTTGCTGTGGAGATAACACTAAAGCTGCAGTGATTCGCCTGGGCTTAATGGAGATGATTGCGTTTGCCAAACTCTTTTGCAAAGGAACAGTGTCTGAGACAACATTCTTGGAAAGTTGTGGTGTTGCAGACGTTATTACAACTTGTTACGGTGGACGAAATCGGAAGATTGCAGAAGCTTTTGTAAAAACTGGAAAGGTAAATGAAACATTTGTTAATTGTGTATTCTATTAAAACACTTTGAAAAGAAACACACATAGATTCAAGGTAATGAAAAGCTGCATGGCACTGAATTAAGTACAGCAGAAGTTTAGTTAACTGCTGCCCACTGCAGTAGCAGTGATGTGGTATTTGCTCTAAGGCTAAGGAGGGATATTACATTTAGGAAGGTGTCCTTCTAATTGTTATACACTGACCCCTGGGAAGTGTTTGAATGTAAGTAGATTTGGGCTTGCCCATAGAATTAATTCCCACAGTCAAGTAGCCTGTCAGTATTCAACTATTTAGGGAAATGTAAAGAATAGCTAACTAAACAAGACATCAATGACAGTAGAGATAGTAAGAACCGCAGATGATGCTGGAGTCGGAGATAACACAGTGTGGAGCTGGAGGAACACAGCAGGCCAGGCAGCATCAGAAGAGCAGGAAAGTTGACATTTCGGGTCGGGTCCCTTCTTCAGAAATGGGCGCCTTTCTGAAGAAGAGTCCCGACCCGAAACATCAACTTTCCTGCTCCTCTGATGCTGCCTGGCCTGTTTTCCTCCTCCAGCTCCATACTGTCTTATCTCTTCAATGTATTTACATCCTTTTTTAAATAAGATGACCAGTACTGTGCAGAATTCTCCAGGTGCAATCTCATCAGTGCCCTGTATAACCGAAGCATGACATTCTTTCTTTTGCAACCGATTACCCTTGATAAACAAAAATATTCAATTAACTTTGCTAATTACTTAGGGTCATAGAGTTGTACAGCACAGAAACAGACCCTTTGGTCCAACTTGTCCATGCTGACCAGATATCCTAAATTAATCTATTCCCATTTGCCATTATTTAGTCCATACCCCTTTAAGCCTTTCCTATTCAGATACCCATCCAGATGCCTTTTTAAATGCTGTAATTGTACCGGCCTCCACTACTTCCTTTGGCAGCACATTCCATATACGCACCACCTTCTGGTTGAAAAAGTTGCCCCTTGGGTCCCTTTTAAATCTTTCCCCTCTCACCTTAAACGTAAGCTGTCTAGTTTTAGATTCCACTACCCCGTGGAAAAGAACTTGGCTGTTCACCCTATTCATGCCTCTCATGATTTTGTAAACTTCTATACAGTCACCCCTGAGCCTCTGATGCTCCAGTCTAAGTGGCCCCAGCCTATTCAGCCTCTCCCTATAGCTCAAACCTTCAAACCCTGGCATCATCCTTGTAAATCTCTTGTGCACCCTTTCAAGGTGAATTGTTACAAAAGTGGCCTAACCAATGTCCTGTACACCGCAATATGACATCTCAACTTCTATACTCCATGCAAAGATCAATGAAGCCAAGTGTAAGAAACACCTTCTTCACTAGCCCATCAAGCTGACACTCTTCCTGCAATGAACTAGAAACCTGTACCCCGAAGTCTCTTTGTTAGGCAACACTTGCAGATCCTGCTACCAAGCAGATAAGTTCTGTCCTGATTTGCCTTCCCAAAATTTAACACCTCACGTTTATCTAAATTAATCCCGATCAGCCAGTCAGCCCATCTGATCAAGGTCCCATTGTACTCTGAGATAACCTTTTTCACTGTCCACTATACCACAAATTTTGGTGTCATCTCCAAACTTACTAACCATTCCTCCTATATTGATATCCAAATCATTGATATAAATGACAAAAAGCAATGGAACCAGCACCGATCTTTGCAGCACACCGCTGGTCACAGGCCTCCAGTCTGAAAAGCAACCCTCCAACACCACCTTCTATCTCCTACCTTCAAGCTAATTTTGTCTCCAAATGGCTGGCTCTCCATGGTTTCCATGTAATCTAACCTTGTTAACAGTCTACCATGTGGGACCTCGCCTTACTGAAGTCTATACAGATAATGTCCACCACTCTGCCTTTGTCAATTTTCTTTGTCACTTCTTCAAAAAAACTCAATCAGGTTAGTGAGACACAATTTCCCATGCACGAAGCCATGTTGACTATCCCTGATCAGTTCTTGTCTTTCCAAATGCATGTAAATCTGTCCTTCAGAATCCCCTTCAACAACTTACCCACACTGACATCAGGCTCACTGGTCTATAGTTCCCTGGCTTTTCCTTATCACCTTCCATAAATAATGGCACAACGTTAGTCACCCTCCAGTCTTCCGGCACCTCACTCGCAGCTATGGATTGTACAAATATCTCAGCAATGGGTCCAGCAATCCCTAACTTCCCACAAAGTTCTGGGATACACCTGATCAGGTCCCGGGGATTTATCCACCTTTATGCATTTTAAGACATCCTGCACTGCCTCCTCTGTAATATGGACACTTTTCAAGATAATCACTATTTATTTCTCCAAGTTCCCTAGCTTCCATATCCTTCTCCACATACTCATGTGAAATACTCATTTAGTATCTTACTCATTACTTGCTGTGCCTGCAGACTAACCTTTTGTGATGCATGCACTAGGTCACCTAGATCCTCCTGCATTCGAGCACTGCAATCTCTCACCATTTAGATAATATTGCTTATTTTTCATTCTTCATGCCAAAAAGGACAATTAAGCATTTTTCCACATTATTCCTCATTTGCCACATCTTTGCCCACTCACTTAATCTATCTTTATCTTTTCGTAGTCTCCTTATGTCCTCTTTACTATTTATTTTTATAGACATCTTTGTGTCATCAGCAAATTTGGCAACCATATTTTTAATAATAGTACAGTATATCAAGCATATCATTTAATGAAAAAGTGGTGTGTGGGTAAATATACATTAGTCAACATCAATAATATGTTGTCTGAGGAATGAAATTACAGCAGTATGTGGATTTATTTGTTCTGCAGACTATTGAACAGTTGGAACAGGAGATGTTGAATGGCCAGAAACTCCAAGGTCCTCAGACTTCAGTGGAAGTGCATCAGATTCTCAAACAGAAGGGAATGGTAGATAAGTAAGTTGAGTTTGCTTGTTCCTTATTTGAGTATTAACCTTGTGCCTCTTATTTTTTCTGCCTCACTTCCACCTACTTTTAGCCACATTTGCTATTACTGGCTAGTATTCAACATATTGTGATTGATTGGTTTGATGTTCTCTGAAGCACGGTTACTGTGCCACATTTTCTTTCTCTCGAAAGGATTTGCATGCCTATGTTAAATTTCCTATCAATCTTGCTTGCAAGGAGGACCGCCCAGTCTCTTCATGTAGCTATAGTTTCGCCACGATGGAACCAATCTCATGAAACTTTCTGCACCCTTTTTTAACACCTTCACACCCTTCCTAAAATGTAATGCCCAGAATTTGACACAATAATCCACTTGAGACTAGAGGAGTGTTTTATAAAGGTTTTTAATAGTATCCTTGTTTTTGTATGCAGTGTCTTTATTTAAAAAAACGTTAATGCTTTATTCAATGCCATGTTCAATGATTTCTGTTCATATAGTTCCAGAGTTGCTCTGCAGCACCCCTTTTAGAATTGTACCCTTTGTTTTATGTACCTCTCCTTATACGTTCTATGAAATGGATCAATTTTGAGTGGCACAGAAAAAGTATTTTCATAATCTGAATTACAACCAATTGTTTTCCTGCCCTTTTTGAGTCAGGGGGTGTAAACTTTAGTATGCTGCTTGAAACTATTCTCAACTTCCTTCCTGTGCCTGCTCCATTATTAAGACTGTCTCTTTTCACTTTACCTTTCCACTATTAAACCTTTAATCCATTTAATTTGTCAACTTGACTGTCAATTCTTGAATGAGTTTCCAGTTTTCCATTGTGTCTTAATGCTGCACCGCTTTGCTCCTCATTTAGTTAAAGCTCTGCGCACTATCATTTCTTGGCTTTCTACGGTGCAATAAATTGATGGCTTTCAAATCACTTCATGACCTCACCCACTGTTAGGAGTCTCCTAATTTAGGTTCTTGCATAGATCCTTCAAAATTGACCTGCTAATTGTTCTTAACATCTCCCATCACTGGGTGGTCATTCGCCTTTATGCTTCTACCCTTGAAATTAGCTGCATACGTGGTTCCACTTAATTATCTCTTTTTTATGTGCTTTCAGAAATGTATAAAAAAAGGACTTTGGTCTCCTATCCTACTGTCTCCATGCATCACAGATCCCCCATCTCCCCACATTGAACGTCTTCTGCTTGATATCCATATTTATATATGAAATACTGGCACAGAAGCTAGTGTCCTGTCACCAAGTCACCCTTTATTTACATGTGTACCGTACTTGGGTTCTGACCAGCCAGCTCAAAGCCAGTCCCTGGACTGAGGAGACCTTCTGAATCCCCTGTTTATATCTGTCAGCCGGGGATCCCTGATTGGCCCAGGTTAACAACCCCAATCAAGGATCTCAGTCAATGAGATCCACATCGCCATGGTTTCAATCACTACAATATATCTTAAAATAAAATCTTTGGAAGTATTCCTCACCTCCGTTTTGACTATTCTCCACACTATCTCTTTTTGGATGAGACCCAGACATTCCTGTGGACCATTTTCTTCTGATAGGGACAGCCAGGTCAATGAGTGATAGCTGAGTGTCACACCAGGTTGACAGAAGTGACCTTCCAATCAACGCAAGGTTATTCTTCCAAAATTGAAATGTCAGGGGTGTAAATACGATGCAGGATGTGTGAGACCATGCACCCCATAGAGTCACGAGTACCTGGATGCAGATGGCCACTCCTGTGTTGTTGAACCAACAGCTGGGATCAGCCTTAGAAATAGTTTGGAGGGTGGTTTGCTTGAGGCCAGGAGTTTGATGGAGGCAAGTGACTCGCTCAACGGGATTGTGGAACCTGAAGTGTCAGTTTCTGATTGCTCATTAAAATGAAATCAGATAATTATGCAGAATCCCCTGACCTGGAAAATGGCATAGGGCAAACCTGCCGGGAGGCAGAAGTTAAACAAGTGTCGATCATACGATTCCTGGAACCATGACTGACCTAGACCCTAAAGTGTGTATTCTCCCATGGAGACTAGATCCTTTGGAAGGTAGCAGTGCAGATGAAAGGGTCTAACTGATACCATCCCAACCTTACCATTGGCCCAGATCGGTGGTGCAAGAGGAGAACGTTGCCATTAATATGGACTTGAACACTCTAGACATCATGGTGCAATTGAACTTGGAAATCTCACAACAGCTTAGCATACAGTCACTGTGTGCTATGTGTAGTTACTGAGATGGCAAATTTCAACCAGGGAAGTGTGTAATGAAATTTCCAGCCATTGGTCAAGGAGATGGAGAGGGAAGGAAAGTCTTGGGACACCTGACCCTGGACGGCCATGCACCTTGATGCAGAATTGGTGAAGTTAAGTAGCAAGTGCCTTCCCAGTATGTGGCAATCCTGGCCAATTAGAGTTAAAATTGTCAAGTAGAATGACAAATCTGACATGCAGCATCATTATCTCATTTAAATTCCAATGCGGGTTTGGGTTAGGAAGCATATATTTCACACTTCAAACCCCAAGCCAATACAAGTCCCTCACACAGCCACTTCTTTTAATTTTGGTTTAAAATTCCCTGCAACTGTGGGATTAAGTAAAGCAATCAAGGGTTGTGGGGAAAAAAGAAGGAAAATTGATTTGAAGATCATCAGATCAGCCATGATCTCATTGAATGGTGGAGTAGACTCGATGGGTTGAATGGCCTACTTCTGCTCTTATGGTCTTGTAGGTTTTCCTCTGTTCAAGTCTGAATCTGTTGTAAATTAATTCATTGAATTGCTGTGATTGCTCAACAGCTCCAGGTTAGTGCATTATGTAACTACCAGGATGATTGAAAACGAGCTAAATTCAGGTTGATCATTCAGCAATTTCTAAATTCCAAAGCTGCTTCCTGACTTGAATGTTTCCAACATTGTATTCAGCAATAGAACATCTCCTGCACCAGTAAATAATCTCTCAATACAAGGATTGAGTTACATCTTTTTTCTACTAATAGGATTATTGTAAACAGCAGTCAAATACTACTGTTTTGTTATAATACTCTCCAAAACCAAGTTAAGCCTCAAATATATTGTAAGATCATAAGATATAGAAGCAAAATTAGGAAATTCAGCCTATTGAGTCTGCTCTGCCATTTGATCATTGATGATATGTTTCTCAACCCTGTTATTCTGCCTTCTCCCTGTAACCCTTGATGTGTTATCTGTGACTCCAGCATCAGCAGTTCTTACTATCTCTAAGAAATAACGCTATACTTTTTTAAAGATATTGGTTCACAGGGTGTGGGTGACACTGGCTGGGCCAGTATATATTGCCCATCCCTAATTGCCTAATATAAGTCAATCACATTGCTATGGGCCTGGAGTCACATGTAGGCCACACCAGGACAGGAAGGAAGATTTCCCTCACTAGTGAAGATATTAATGACCAGATTTTCTTTGATAACAATTGACAGTGGGTTACATGGTCATGATTAGACCACTATTTATTGCAGATTTTATTGAATTAAGTTTTCACCAATTGCCAATGTGGGATTTGAACCCATGTTCCCAGAATATTGGCCTAGCGATCTTTATTGTAGTTTAGTATATTATCACTCTACCACCATCTCCCAGTATCTCCCAGTTCTATTATCTTGGCACATGTAGAGCTTATTCATGTTACATTTATGTATTTTGTTACGTGTGTTCCTACTAAAGCACCATTTCTGCTGCTCCCAACTCTCTCGACCTGGCACAAACCCATACATTTTCATATTTGTTTTGTAGGTTTCCTTTGTTCACTGCAGTGTACCAGATTTGCTATGAAGGCAAGCCAGTGAAAGACTTGATAGCCTGTCTGCAGAGTCACCCAGAACACATGTAGAATACTGAATTACTTAGTGTTCCTCTTGCATGGGGATAGTATGAAATAATCAAGTGTGGATCACCAACTAGAAGAGATCGTGCGCAACTAACTATGAAGTATACTGTGTGACACCAATCGGTCATATCAGTAAGTGAGCCTGACCTTCAATGGAGGTTCCATTGTATCGTCAGTTAATGTTTGCAATGTTGTGATTAACTGAAGTAAATTTACAGTTAATGCCTTAGTGGGCAAGAGGCTTAATGAGTGCCTGTTCATGATGGAAATACAATAGCAGCTGGATTGCATGCACATTGGCATGATATTCGGGTAAGCGTTTGTGCATCAATTAATTTAGTTCTTAAATGTTGGATCAAGATGCTCATGAAAGTCTGTTGTCACTAATTGTTTCGCTTTATTACAGAAGAGTGCCCAATTATTATAAAATTCTTACTAAAAGGTTAATTTTATTATTAATATGATTTTCTGAAAATCCATTATTTTAAGACATTGTTGTCTGTTATAAGCATGTGATGTTTACTATAATTAATTGCACACCTTGCTTCTTCTAGGTTTTGGCAGAGAAGTGAACAAAACGCCATTTAAAAATCAAATAGACTTTCTTAGATCAAAACAATTTAGTGATATCTTATGTTGTTAAGTGACAATGGAGTGTCTATTCTTAATGGTAGGACTTTGGCCATGAACCCGAAGTTTGAGTTCAAGCCCCAGTCTAGAGACTTGGGCACACAATCTAAGGTGACACTTCAGTGTAGTATTGGGAGAATGTTTACATATGCAATTATAGTTCAAAAACGTAATTGGCTTTAAAACACTTCGGGACATTCTAAGTCATGAACAATGTTATGTCAGTGCAAGTTTTCCATTTCTTCCACGTGGCATTTCTGAGACTATTGCCACATGGTATTTTGTATTGTTCGTAGGCTGACCTGCTAATCCACCATGCTGTGTTCTTTTTTAATTAATGCAAGCTAGTGTCCTAATTACAACTGTGGCCAGACAAGCAATGGGAAGCTTGCAGGTGGTGTATGATAGTAGGGTGAAACCTCTAGCTGATTAAATTCCAGCACATCCCACATGCTTTGGGAAATCTCTAAACCTTGACTCTGCCAATCTACAGTTAAATTCTTTTTGCTATACTTTTGGTTTCTCTCATTTACCTTCTTCCCTTTCTTCACTGTCTCCTTCTCTTGTATTTCATCACGGACTGGTTGAGATTCACTTCACAATCGCATTTTAAATTTGTTCATCTTCTATTCTCCACCTATGTACTTTATATGTCATTCTATCTATTTTCTTCTGTGTATTTACCGTTCTAATTTTAAAAATAATCTGTTCATCTGAAATATATTCTAGTCCTGAGGAAGAAATTTTGGACCTGAAACATTACTTCTGTTTGCTCTCAGATGTTGTCTGTTCTGACTATTTTCCAACCTTTATTCTTTACTTTTAATTTTCAGATTTCTGACATATTTTGCTCTCTGCAAGGCACTCAGTGAGCAATCCACACTGGATAAGCAGAAACTCTATTTGTATACATTTCTCATGAACTTGAATTCAAAACTCAAAACTAGTGACAGGCTTGAAATAAAAGTTCTGAGATCTCAACTGAATGATGATGGGTTTTTATATATGTCATGCATCAAACAAAAAAGGTACTCTGCTTTATTCTCCATTCACATGTGAAGTAAAAATGATTTGTAAATAAATTGGATCTCATTACTGATACAGGTGAGAATTTTAAATATCCCATCCTGGTCCCTCCCAACAATAAAGGATGAAGCTGACTTAGAGATTGGTGTGGTGGATGTTAAATCTTGAACATCTGAAAGATGACTCCAACATTCCCATTTCTGGATTTATCAGAGACAGGAAGACTAGTCTGCTCATAGGCATGAGTTGACCATTCCACTGCATACCTAAGATTTAGTTTTTACTTTAAATTTCTCAAAGGCTGATCAGCTTTCCTGGGAAGCCCAGTTGTTAAAGAAAGGCAAGGAGTGATGGATCCGGTTAAGTAAGTGGCCATTCTCCCCACCATATCCCTCGTATCCCTTACGTGATCAAAGAACATGATGTCCATCAGCCACAGATTTCTATTTTGGGTTTTCGGTAATCCTTCCCCCCAGTCACACCCTGTATATCACTGTCCATCTGATCCACATCCCCTGACTCAGCACCTCCCTTCCCTCTGCTCTGAGGCTACAGTCCAGTGCCACAGGCCTTTCTGTCCAGCTAGCCTGTCTGACTACCTCTTCACATGACTGGCTCCAGCTGGAAAACCAAGACAAAAATGTGGTCTGCAGAAAACCCATCTTCCAGGTTTCCTGTGAAACTAACTCACTCTTACCTTCAAGTCATGGTCAGGTCACTGCATTTGAATTGGTAGTTGAGTAACACCGGTTTACTTATAAAGGTTCTGGACTCTTAAAGTTATAATAACACAAGTCACCCAACAGAAGTCAGGCAGTTAGACAGATAAATTTGCCCAGGTAACTTACCAACCTGGATCTGCCACGTACCGACTTCCAAATGTATCCTCTTATTTTGAGCAGGTGATAGGGAGACCTGCTCAAACTGATGAGACCTTCTTTTTAAAAAATGCCCACCCCTCCCCAGCCCCACCACCATGGAGGTAATTTCTGCCACTGAACCCCGTTTCAATGTTGCACCTGTTCTGTGCACATTTGCAGTGTACACCTTACACATGACACAATGACATAGAGGGTCTGGAACTGTGCGCACACATGTTTTCAAGTGAAAATGCAGGCCCTGGAGTTTTGGTGTCAGCAAACACTGCCCTTTTGAAATGTAAAAACTGAAAGAACTGCAGATGCTGTAAATCAAAAATAGAAATTGCTTCAAAGCGTCATTCAACTCAAAACTCTGATTTCTCTCCACAGATCCTGCCCTGCTGAGCTTTTCCAGCAATTTCTATTTTTGTCTTTTAAAATGTATATTTGGTTCTGAGGGTATCTTTGGGAGCTGACTGTAATTTTACCTTGTTCCCTGAGCAGGAGAGTAAGAGAGAATAAACTGCAGGTTTAGATGACAAAGACATACTTTACTAAAAACTTCTCCTGCAGGGGCGCTACTCTGTGCATCACTAGGATAGCATGGGCCTCCCTTGTCAATTTGTTCCCTCATCAACTCTCACCACTACTATCTATCCAAAACTGGTTCAAAGATAAAATCAGCCCTCCATTGTCTCTCAGTTTTACGCACTGATTTAGGATATTTGTACTGGCACTTCACACTATAACAACAGGTATCTTGTTTACATAGGGACGTCTAACTATAATACATTAGCAGCTTTGAGTTAAGGCATCTCTGCAACAATCTGCTGGTCCTGTGGAATTTGCTAGACTTTGTGCAGCTCAGGTTCCGCTGTACATAACAACAGACAAAGAGCTTATCCACTCTGGTGGCAGGGTAAAAAGACACAGCAAACCTGTCAGTATTTAAAGGGGACAGTAAAAAGGTTTTGTTGAACTGATTGTACACACCCATTTCAGGAAGAGGGGGGTGAGATATGCTAATTATTGTGAGGAAGTTGAGTAGCTTGGAGACAGATTTTTAATTGCTGGACAGATGGAAATTGTGATTGATATATTTACTTGTTTGAAAATTGCAATTGGTGACTTCTGGCTGCATAATCTCCCCTGGTGCTTTGTACAGGCCAGTTGAGATATTGAGGAAACCCTCATTAAATTACTACTTTATGAAATCCTTTCATTTTGATTTAGTATAAACCTCTTAGCACTGAGACCAATGTATTGTTCTATGCATTCAAACTAAATTATTTGAGGCAGATCAGGCCTCATTTTCTTGAAAACAAATACACTACATTGTTGGTGACTTCGTGCACCACGATATGAAAAGATGCAGATTGCAGCAGCTTTTCTACATTTGTCTCAGGACTGCACTGGGGAGCAGACCAGTCTTTGCTTTAAAGGAGGCAGGTGGAAAATGAGTTATCAAGAACAATACTTAAAATACAACCAGGCTGACCAGGCCACCAAATCTCACTCAGGAAAGTAATTGTGTGATTGGAGATAGAAAAAAAAATTGTACTAATGGCAAAGGAGAAAAAAAAAGTTACACTGCTTCTTTTAAAAGAAAACTTAATTTTGCCTATCGCTCCTGCAGAGAGTTCACTGTTGCATTTTCTGGATTAAAAATTGATGAAGCCAAGAGACCGATTGATATCTTTCCCACATGGCCATTAATCAAGCTGAATATCAATGAATATGATAATAGAGCATTGTTGTTGAACCTAATGTCATCTGTACACAATATGTGTATACATCCAGTTTCAGCAGAGATCACTATTTAACTACCTCACTGAATCAAGGGCTCTGAGACCGATATTTAGTGCCAACAGTGCGCTGAGGTCAGAGAAACTCCCTTCCAGACTCTACAAAGCCTGTACCATCCACAAGGGAAAAATCAGGAATGTGAATGGAATGCTCTGCACTTGCTTGGATGAAGTAGCTTCAGTAACACTTAAGAGATTTAACACTATTCCATGCAAAGCGGCCTGTTTGATTGGCACTCTATCCACCACCTTAAATGTCTCTCCCTTCAACACTGACATACTGTGGCAGCATTGTGTACCACCTAGAAATTGCACTGCAGTTCCCCAAAGTTCCTTCAATAGCACTTTGTAAACCTCTACCACCTAGAAGGACACAGCAATGAATGAATGGGAACACTAACCTGCAAATTCCCCAAGTGCCCCTTCTGATCACTTTGACTTGAAACAGTATTGCTGTTCCTTCATTCTTGCTTGATCACAGTCCTGAAGCTTCCTTCCCACCAGCACTGTTGGTGTATCTACACCACATGGACTGCAGTGGTTTAATAAGGTGGCCAACACTGTTTCCTCAGGGATAATTAGGAATGGGCAATAGGTGCTGGCCTTGACAGTGATGTTCATGCCTTGTAATCAAATGAAAATAAACTGGTGGCAAGCCAGAGTTCCTGCTTGCATTCTGTATTGAGGTATAAAGGTAGAAGAGGATGAAAGGCTGTAGAAACAGTGTGGTTAAAAGACCTCTGTGCAGGGAGAAACAGTTGACATTTATGTCAGTATTTTGTCAGAACTGAAACTTTTTTGCATAAAGCTTGTAATACTTATTTAAAACCTAAACTGTTTTAAATGGCTTTTTATTTGTTAATTAATACAAGATCTGTAAAATGGTCTTCTTTTAAATTGTGGTAATCAGAAATGTTCAGACCTAATTTTATGAAGAGTATGCTCTGAAAGAGTGACAAATGTGTATGGAAAGTGTGACCAAGTGGTCCCACTAGAGAAAATTAAACACTGCCAAGGAAGGTGTGCAATAAATTATTGATACTGCTATAAATGTAAAGAAGTGAAATTGTGAAAAAAATGAATTAGAAATGAAATGTTTTACAAATGTAATTTATTAACTTTTTAACTCTGCAAGTGGATGGATGACTACAATGTAATTGTGTAATATTTCATCACTTATTGGAATATCAAACTTGCGCATTAACATTTTAAAATAAAGATTAAAAGTGTTCTGATTTTTTAGTGTACTCCAAAAAATAGTAAAAGGAACAACATTTTTCAATCTGTCAACCGTTTGTAACAATCAGATACTCAGCATGACACAGTGAAGCAAAATTGATCATCATTGCATAAAAATGTGATTTTCAATATATTTAGTGATTCCATTAACATTCAAAACAAAGAAGTAAGGAATGAAAGAAAGAAAAAGGGTCTGCAATGCAGTTTTAAAACAGAAAACAATTAAATGTTCTATCACTGCCTCATTTGATCATGTCAACTGGTGGATTGCTGTTTGAGTGTTTTTTGTTGGAAGTTTTATATGCATTGGCTCCATGTAAGAACATAACTAGAAGAAACGCCACCACTAGTCTAAAGCTTCACGTTGCTTGGGGCTGAAGTTTTCTCTATACTGTCTGAGTTTCCAAGGGTCAAGTATTCTGCAACCCTACAATGATGAACCCCTGCCCATTTTGTGTCTATTAATATTCCTGGGGTCACATTCCACTGATGCTACCCAAAAAAGAACAAGTAGCTCTTTTTTTGGATTGGAAGGCAGTAATTAGTGGGGTACCACTTGGGCTGCAGCTATTCACAACATACAGCAATGATTTGGATGGGGGAATGAAATGTAATATTTCACCGATGAAGCAAAACCAGGAAACTGGTGAGGAAGAAGAAAATTTCTATCATGGCAATTTAAGCCAGTTGAATGAAGAGGCAGATATTTGGCAGTTACAGTAAACCCTGGATAAATGTAAAGTTATCCACTTCTTAGGAAAAACAGCACATCAGAGTATTACTTGAATAGTGATAAAATGGGAAATGTTGATGTACAAAGGCACCAAGGTGTCCTTGTCCATCAGTTACTGAAAAGAAGCATTAGGAAAGGAAATTGTATGTTGGCCTTCACTGCACAGACAAGGAGGGTTGGAGGTTTGTGGCTACAGCCTCTTAAAATGTCCATTCAAGGATGTGAGACCACATTTTCAAGCCTTAATTATATTTCCTCATTCCAGGCAACAACCTAATGAATCTCCAAATATACCCTTTCGAAGTCTTCAATGCATGTTTTCAATTCTACTCAACTTTATCCTACTGCATTGCAAGCAACTGCAAAAGTCATGACTATCTTGCTTCCTGAATTATGAGGCCGTGTCAGACTCACGGATTCATACCTTACAGGCACCTTACTATCGTCACCGTCCCTGGGTATGTCCTGTCCTGTACTGCCAGCAGGATGGATCCAGCAGAGGTGGTGGCACAGTGGTATACATTTAGAAGAGAGTTGCCCTGGAAATCCTTAATATTGACTCCAGAACTCATGAAGGCTCATGGCTTCAGGTCAAAATGGGGCGAGGAAACTGCTGATTATCCTACAGCACCCTCCCTCACCTGATGAGTCACTGCTTCTCCATGTTGAACAAAACCTGGAGGATACATTGAGGGTGGTAAAGGTACAAAATGTACTCTGGGTGGGGGATTTCAACATCCACCACAGAAGTGGCTCGGTAGCAGCACCACTGATCAAGCTGTTCGGGTCCTAAAGAACATAGCTGCAATTCTGGGTCCGCAGCAAGTGCTGAGGGAACCAACCAAAAGGAAAAACATACTTGACCTTATCCTTACCGATCTGCCCACTGCAGATGCATCTGTCCATGACAGCAATGGGAAGAGTGACCACTGCACAATCCTTGTGGTGGTGAAGTCCCTCCTTCATATTGAGAAGATCCTCCATTATGTTGTGTAACACTATCACCATGCTGAAATGGAACAGACTACGAACTGAGCCAGTAACTCAAGACTGGGCATCTATGAAGCACCGTGGGCCATTAACAGCAGCAGAATTGTACTCCAGCACAATCTGCAACCTCATGTCCTGGCATATCCCCAATCAACCATTTCAATCAAGTCAAGGGATCAATTTGTTTAATGGAGAGTGCAGGAGGGCATGCCAGGAGCAGCTCTAGGAATATCTGAAAATGAGGTGTCAACCTGGTTACCAAACAGGACTATTTGCATGCCAACAGCATAAGCAGCAACTGTTAGATAGAGGCTAAGCAATCCCACAACCAATGGATCTGATGTAAGCTCTGCAGTCCTGCCACATCCAGTCATGAATGGTGGTGGACAATTAATCAACTCACTGGAGGAAGAGGCTCCAAAAATATCGACCAACATTCCATCCTCAAAGATGGAAGAACCCGACACATCAGTGCCAGAAATGCCAAGTGGATGATCCACCTTGGCCTCCTCTTGTGGTCCCCAGCATCACAAATACCAGTCTTCGGCCAATTTGATTCACTCCATGTGATATCAAGAAATGGTTGAAGAGACTGGCTATTGAAAAGATAAGGTATGAATCTGAGAGTATGACATGGCCTCATATTTCAGGGCCCTGACAACATTCCGGTAATAGTCCTGAAGACTTGTGTTCCAGAACATGCCACTCCCCCAGTTAAGCTCTTCCAGTCCAGTTACAACATTGGCATCTACCCGACAATGTAGAAATCTGCCCAGGTATGTCCAGTACATAAAAAGCAGGACAAATCCAACCCGGTCAATTGCCGCCCCGTCAGTTTGCTCTCAATCATCAGTAAAGCGATGGAAGGAGTCATCAACAGCGCCATCAAGCAGCACCTGCTCAGTGAAGCTCAGTTTGGGTTCCGCCAGGGCCACTCAGCTCCTGACCTCATTACAGCCTTGGTTCAAACATGGACAAAACAGCTGAATTCCAAAGGTGAGGTGAGAGTGACAGCTCCTGACATCAAGGCTGCATTCGACCAAGTGTGGCATCAGGGAGCCCTAGCAAAACTGGAATTAATGGGTATCGGGTTGAAGTTATACCTGGCATGTAGGAAGACGATTGTAGTTGTTGGAGGTCAGTCATCTCAGCTCCAGCACATCTCTCCAGGGGTTACTCAGCGTAGTGTCCTAGGCCCAACCATCTTCAGCTGCTTCATCCATCATAATGTCAGAAGTGGTGATATTTGCTGATGATTGCACAATATTCAGCACCATTCGTGACTTCTCAGATACTGAAGCAGTCCATGTCAAAATGCAACAAGATTGGGTTTTATTCGGGCTTGAGCTGAGAAGTAACTTTTGCACTACACAAATGCAAGGCAGTAACTATATCCAATAAGATAAGCTAACCACTGTTCCTTGACATTTTATGATGTTACCCACTGAATCCCCCCACAATCAACATCGTGAGGGTTACCATTGACCAGAAACTCAACTGAACTAGTCACATAAACAGAGTCACTACAAGAGCAGGTCAGAGGCTAGAAATACTGAGGCGAGTAACTCACTCTGTGACTCCCCGAAGCCTGTCCAAATCTACAAGGCACAAGTCAGGAGTGTGATGGAATACTTTCTGCTTGCCTGGATGGCTGTAGCTTCATCAACACACAAGAAGCTTGAAAACATCCAGGACAAAGCAACCCGCTTTATTTGTACCATACTCACGAACATCCACTCCCTTCACCACCGATGCTCAGTAGCAGCAGTGTGTACTGTCTACAAGATTCACCGCAGAAATTCACCAAAACTCCTTGGACAACACCTTTCAGGCACACAACCACTTCCATCTAGAAAGACAAGTGTAGCAGATACATGGGAACACCATCCTGACTTGGAAATATATCATCATTCCTTCATTGTCACTGGGTCAAAATTCTGAAGTTCCTTCCCTAAGTGCAGCACGTGGACTACAGTGGTTCAAGAAGGCAACTCGCCACCACCTTCTCAAGGCCAAATAGGTATGGGCAATAAATGCTGGCCAGCTAGCAATGCCCAAGTCCCATGAGTGAACAAAAAATGTTGGGCTTCTGAGGACATCAAGAACATGAGGCAGCTGCCCTCAGCTGCTTGTCTTTAAGTCACATGCACTCTTTGCACATGAGCCAGTTCATCAGCTTCTGCCTGGTCAAGTGGATGATAAAATGGCACTGCAAATTCATTGGTGGGCTTTTCTCTAAGTACCTGACCATCTTGTGAATAAGACAGTGTGTCCATGAATAAAATCAGAAAATGCTGGAGCAACTCTGGGCCTGGCAGCATGTGTGGAGAGAGAAACAGAGTTAACCTTTGAGTCTGGTGTAGATCCTCTTCTGAACTTTTAAATGTTTCACTTAAGCTGTGCAAACTCAAAAGTCCCCAAGAAGGCTCTGTACAAGTTGACCTTTTTAGGTGAGCACATTTGTCAGGTTCTCAAAAAAAAATGATGGGCTACATACTTCAAAAAATTAAAAAGGTACATTAGACTGAGATGATTTTCATTTTTTTGAAAACCACTTCTAGAAATGAGTTTTCCAGAGGCCATGTCTTGTGCTGGTTTGAGAACAGTATAATCTTGACTTCTGTTCCCATATGTACAGGAAACTGAAAGGCACTATTGTCCAAACTCTTCTTATAGCTAATACACTCCTATCCGGGCAACGTTCTCATATGTCTCTTTTGCACCCTCTCTAAAGCCTCCATATCCTTCGCATAGGTCATGACCAGAGCTGCACAGAATACTCCAAATGCGGCCTAACTGAAATCTTCTAAAGCTGCAACATGACTTGGTAACTTTTATAATCAATGTCTCAACTGATGAAGGCCAGCATGCTGTACACCTTCTTCACTACCTTATCCACTTGTGTTCTTACTTTCAGGGAGCTGCCCTATTCACTAACACATGGCACTGGGAGTAATCCAGAGATTACAATCTTCAAGGTCCTACTTTATAATCAACACCCTAATTCTTGATGGGGTGTTGGTTATAAAGTAGGACCTCACCTCTCCTTTTACCTATATCATTGGTGCTAGTATGCTCCATGACATCTGACTTATTGCCTTCCCTCTTCAGGATGCCTTGCAACTGCTCAGAGACATCCTTGACCCTGGCCCAGGGCGCCAACACACCACCCTGGAGTCACATCTGCAGTTGCAGAAATGCCTGTCTGCAATCCTTACTATGAAGTCACCTACTACTATTTCCCTTGGATTCTCATTCCTCCCACCTTGCACA